AAAGTAACTAAAGACAATACAACAAATTAATAAATGTAATACACCACATTAATAAAGCAAAGACAAAAATCACATGACTATCTCAATTGACGGAGAAAAGGCCTTTGACAAAATCCAACATTTATTCACATTAAAAACCTTCAAAAAGCTGAACCTGGTGGCACACACTTGTGATCTCAGCACTTCGGAGGCTGAGGTGGGAGGATTGTTATTTCAAGACCAACCTGAACTACAAGGCCCTGTCTCAAAAAGGGGAAAAAAACTTCCAAGGAAATAGGTATAGAAGTAATTTGTATCTTAATCTGACAGAAGCCATTTACAACAAACCAATGGCCAACATCATATTAAATGGGGAGAAGTGAAAAGGTTTCCCTTTAAAATAAGGAACAAGACAGGATGTGCTCTATTACCACTACAGTTCAATATAGGTCTTGAAACATTAGACAAAGCAATCAGGTAAGAGAAAGAAATAAAAAGGACGTGTACAGGAAAAAGAAGTCAAATTATTATTTGAATAATGACATGATTCTTTACACATAAAACTAAAATAATTCTACCAATAGAGTCCCATAATTCGATACAAATTCAGTAGCATGACAGAATACAAAGTCAACACACAAAAATCTATAGCATTGCTGTATACCAATAATAAACTCCCTGAGAAATTAGGGAAATACTACCCTTCATAATACATCAAGAAAATATTAGGGCTTGGCTCACAAGTGCAAGGTCCCGAATTCAATCCCCAGTACCAAAAAAAAGAAAAAGAAAAAATTAAATACTTAGGAATTAACCTAGCTAAAGAAGTAAAAGAGCTGCACAACAAAAACTATAGTAGTCTGAAACAGGAGATCAAACAGGATGTCAGAAAATGGAAAGATAGCCACTATTCTTGGATAAGCAGAACTAAGTCAGTCAAAATGGTCATCAGTCAAAACTGGTATACAGATTTAATAAAATCCCATCAAAATACCAAGAGCATTCCTCATCAAACTACAGAAAAATAATCCTAAAATTGATATAGAACCAGAACAGACCTAAAATAGCAGAAGCAATTTTGAGCAACAAGAATAAGGCAGGAGGCATCAGAATCCCAGGCTTCAAGTTATACTACAACAGTGATAAAAACAGTATGGTAGGGCCAAAAACAAAGAAAAAAGTAAAACCAGACATGTCAACCAATGGAACAGCATAAAGCATACAGAAGCAGATCCAGGCACATTTACCTTATCTGAGCCAAAAACTTATGCTGGAAGACAGTCTCTTTAGCTAAAGTTGCTGCTGGGTAAAACTCGCTATCCATATACAGAAGAATGAATTTAGACCTGTATCTCTCATCATGAACTAAACTAAAATCAAAATGGATCAAAATATCTAAATATTAAAGCAAACACTGTGCTAGAAGATAAAATAGGTAAAACTCTTTTTTAAGACATAGGTATAGGCAAGGACTTTATAAACAGAACCCCAAATGCATAAAGAAATACCAAGAATCAACAATGGGGTAATAGCCAAATTAAAAAGCTTCTGCACAGCAAAAGAAACAGTTAACAAAGTGAAGAGACAACCTAAAGAATGGAAAAAACTTTTGTCGACTATCTCTTGGACTAATATTGTAGAAGACTAATATCTAGCATATATGAATCCTTAGAAAAATCAGAGATCCTCTCCAAAATAAAAGATCTAATCAAGGGGCCAGGGATGTAGCTCACTAGTACCACACTGCCTGGCAAGTGCAAGGTCCTGAGTTCAATCCCCAGTATGGGGTGGGGAGTTCCAATCCAAAAGTGGGCAACTCAGGCTGGGGATTTAGCTCAGTGGCACTGTGCCAGCCTCACAAGCACAAGGTCCTAAGTTTGATCCCTGGTACCACCAAAAAAAAAAAAAAAAAAAAAAAAGAGAGAGAGAGAAAAAGAAAAAAGTGGGCAACTGAAATGAATAGACTTCTCAGAAGAAATATAAATGGCCAATGAATACAGAAAAAAATGTCCAACACCTCTGGCTATTACAAAAATGCATATTAAAACAACAGCGAGCCGGGAATTTAGCTCAGTGGTTCTGCCGCTTGCCTTTCAAGCGCAAGGACCCGAGTTCGATCCCTAGTACCAAAAAAAAAAGCGATATTCCATCTTACTCCAGAAACAAATGGGTCTCATCAAGATAATCAAATAAATGTCAGCACAGCTAAGGGCACAGCTAAGCTACATTACTGGTGGGAATATGAACTGATAACACCACTATGAAAACCTGATGGAGATCCCTCAAAAAAACTAACACTAGAAATCCATTTGACCCAGCTATTCCCCTTCTTGGTATGTCCCTAAAGGAATTAAAGAGATCATTCCACAGTGATACATACATACCACCATTTACACGCAGCACACTTCTCAATAGCTAAGTCCCACAAATGGCCCATGTATATCCATCCACAAAGGAATGGATGAAGAAAAGGTGGTATTTATACACATAGAGCACCACTCTGACATAAACAAAGTGAAACTTGAATCACTTGGAGGAAAATGGATGTACGTTGAGATCATAATGTTAAAGTGAAATAAATCAGACATACAAATATTTCATGGTTTCTTTTATGAGACACTCAAAATAGAAATAAAGAGCAAAATAAAAGATAATAGGAAATAGCAAGATAGATCTTTTACATATGGGAAAGGCACCAAGAGATTGAAGGAGGGGAAAGGAGGGAGAGAAAGGAGATTTAAAAAAAAAATTAAGATGGTATGGAAAAGTACCAACTCCTCATGAGGAATGTGCTACAAACATGTACTAATAAAAATAAATAATCCCTCCCCAAAAAGTCATCATGTTTTGTTATGGTGGTACTGAGGATTAAACACAAGGTTGTCACACTGAACTACATCCCTGATCCTTTTTATTCTGAGACAGGGTCTCACTAAATCACTAAATTGTCCAGGCTGGATTTGAACTTTTAACGTCTTATCTCAACATCCCAGAGCTGAACTGGTGTACACCACAACACTCAGCTCCATGAGTTTTAACACATTCACTGTCTAACCATTTGGATTGTGCAGAGTCCTTCAACAAGATTATTGACTATTCCATGGTCCTGGGGTGACTCTGTCTTCCTGGGTCTTCCTTGATTATTCCCAATGTAACAGAAAGTGGAACAGGAGCTGGGGATGCCATGGTTACCAGTCCAGGGCTAAGTCCTTGCCCTCCCAGAGGTGGTATTACCAGCACCAAGAGGTTCAGAAACCAAAACTCCCCAAGAGCAGAAATGAAAAGCTGAGGGAACTACAGAAAAAAGACGCCAAGATGGAAAGATGGAAAAGTTCACAAAGTCCAACAAATTAGGAGGTCCACACAGACAAGCAGGAGTGGAAGACAGGAAGGCATCTGTGAAGTAACTCATTTCCCACCTTTGCCTGCCTGGGTTTGAGAGAGAAATGGCTCAAGTTCAAGGCCAAAAGATGCAAAGAGCTGCACCAGCAGCCAGAGGGGAGGGGAGGTTTCAAGTGTCAAAACACAATGTGTTGGGCCGGCGATTTAGCTCAGTGGCACCGTGCCTGCCTTACAAGCACGAGGGTCCTGAGTTCCATGGGGAACGACTACGACGACGACAACAACAAAGTGTAAAAGCTTCCAGGAAGCACAGCTTGTGTCGAACTGGAGCTTCCAAGGGAAAAAAGAAGACGACACTGATGGCTGAGCACGTTACAGGGCTGGCAACAGTGAGGAAGGGAGAGCAGTTAAGTTGGAGAACGCCGAGGTGCTGGCTGAGGATGGCGAGTGGCGACAAAGGCCCAGAGAAGAAAACAGACCCAAGATTTGCTCTGGCAATGGGCTGTAAGCAGGGAGTGAGGGAAGGAAGGAAGGCACCAAGGGTGACTCTGGGGTTTTGACTTACGAAACTGAGAGAGCAGCTGTGTCATTGACTAAAAGGAGGAAGACAAGAGAAGGGAATGGTTTTAGAAAGCAGGGAGATAATCAAAAGTGTGGAGTCTTGCACTTAAAGTTTGTGGAATAGCAAGTGGGAAGCAAGTCTGGAATTCACAGGCGTGAGCTATGGGGAGAAGTCCTCAGCATGAAAGGTGATTCGATGCGATGGTGAGACAAGACCGCCACCCCAGGGGAGAGAGGTGAGAGAAGCCCAGGATCAGTTCTGACAGGTCAGCCCTCACAGCCAGGGGGCGAGGGAGAAGTCCATTGGCTATTTATGTTTTTCTGGAAGATTACCTTATTTTATTACATTTGGTTTTGTTTCTTCTTTTTTTTTTGGTACTGGCGATTGAACTCCAGTCCTTGTGCTTGCGAGGCAGGAGGCGGAACCACTGAGCTAAATCTCCAGCCCAGTTTGTTTCATTTTTAATTTGGGGGAGGAAGCAGTGGTTCTCCCTTCAGCCTCCCTCTGCACCCTCGTTCTCTTCTTCTTATCCTAAACAGACTTGCCAAAAGCTGTGCTGTGCTGGTTTGTCCTCAAAGGACCAGCTTTGGAGTTTAGCATTTCTATTTGTTTCACATTTTTCCCATGTTTTCTTAATTCTTTTCCTCACTTTCATTAGGCTCATTTTTAACCTTGTTTTTGAAGTTACTGGTGATAAATCCTTTATGTATTTTATTTGCACTGCCAACATTTTACTTCCTTACCAAAGCTTAAAACATTCTAAGTCTCCTTTCTCACATCTCTGCCAAGTCTGTATCCAGATCACCTCAAAGTGCAAATCACTTCCCAGCCTCGGGGTCTAAAAACTCCTTGAACTATTCCCTAGTAGGAACTGAATAAAGTTTAAACCATCACAACATTCTTATTTAAAGAAAGAAAGTTTCCTTCCAAAGTCTGTGTGAATGTTCCAAAAGCCTGTTCCAGGCAAGGGATGTGGTTCAGAGGTACAGCACTTGCCTCGCATATGTGTGAGGCCCTGGGTTCCATTCCCAGCACTGCCCCCAAAAAAGAAAAAAAAAAAAAGCAGTCTGTCCCTCAGAAGTGGTGGGACTCTGCCAGGAGCCCTCAGAACACTCACAGCATGGCGATGCCCCAGTGCTTCCCAGCCCGCTCTCCAGCTGCCTGGAAACCAGAGAGTCCGATGAGGGCCACTGTGGGCGTAATGGTCAGCGGCCCAATGTATCGCAGCAGAGCCCCAGGCAGGCCAAGGAGCCCGATGACCACTTCTATCAATGAGGACATGATGATGGCACCCTGGATCTGAAAGAGACGGACACACATGAGAGTGAGCAGTGTGGATATCACACACTCTGAGTATCACCTGCAACTGTGACTGACAATTCTGCAAGCCAACAAGTGGTTACACCATACGGCAGGCACAAAAGTCGGCAAGTCCAAGGGACCCCACCCAAGATTCAGTGGAACAAAAGAGGCCGAACAAACTTGAGTGTGACATCCCTGAAGGAAGAATGACAGAAAGGGGCACCTGACACAAGGCTTTTCCCACCGATGGGTAAGACAGAAAAATTCCCATTTGAAATACATTTTAAAACCAGCCTTCCAGGAACACCGCAGTACTCAAACTCTGTGCTCTTGGAGCACATTTAAAAGGTAAAATTTCTAAAGGAACTCTATTTTACAGATGCACGTATCTGTGCTAAATTCTAATGATCTCATGGGTTTGGGAAAATACACACACAGTTAGTTGTTCTTCATGCCTGGCGACTGCCAGCCACTGCTCTTGTTCAAGTGTGCTTTGGCAGACAAATACCATGCTGTTTTCAACAAATAGAGGCTGATGCCAGGGCCAGCCCATTCTGCTGTCAGTTGACAGTGTCAGTAGCTCCTGAGTCTGGAGCCGCAGCCGGCTGTGGCTGCACTGAGGTGAGCCAGCACGTCTGTAGGTCTGCAGGCGGAAGGGGGCAACTCGGTTTGTAGACACAGAGCCATCACTAAATATAGTTTAATAACAGAAATAAACACCTCATAGTTGAAAAGGAAAAGAAGGCCTTAGTAAAAGCAACTGTGATTTCTTGGGTGCAACCAGCATTGTAGCCGAGAAGAAACACAAAGAAGCCACAAGTGGACAACGATCTCGTCCTTTACCTCTCTGATCCGCGGATACCAGATGTGTTCTGTGTGCAACAACTCTGCTGTTCCATTGGCAACTGAAATATCTTGAAAACAAAAACAAAGACAAAGGTTTTCTTGGAGTGATGCTGCTGTTTCACAGGACATAATTCATTTTACCCTTTAAGAAGCATTTCCCCCATTACATGTACACTGGTATCATTACCTATCCCTAAAATTGAACCTGCAACAGTAGGGCTCGTCATACTGCAAGGTGGATCCCCAGCACTAATTTACTCGAATGTACTCATCCACTAGAGCTCCCTAACGTGTCAAAAGCTGACGGAAGTGGTGCTACCCATTACTAGTATCAGCTTCACGCAGAAACCAACCTTTCCAAGCAGCTAACTGAAATGTCGGACCACAAGGTTGCTGGACTGAGGTTGTAAAACCTTAGATAAAACAGAGGGCTTTTTCCAATTCCTAAGTCAAATTAATGGTCACAAAGTAACCCCTAGGAGCAAGGAAGGAAATGAAGGCTGGAAAGCATGGCTCCTAGAACCTCAAAATATTTAACTGTATTTTCAGAGTATGACAGGTCTGACTTTGACTTTCTCAATTTTTTTTTTCTTTTCCTGACCTGATCAGATTCCTTAAGGATCTCTGCAATCACTAAGGAAGGGGAATGAAAGTCATTTGCAGAAAACCACAGTAGCCAGATCCTTAAAAAGCAAAGATGATCCACAGAAGGGATGCTGATGCAGCCAAGAGAGTGATTACGGGTGGGTCATAAAATCCACTGAAAGAGAGAGGCAGGAAAGCAGCACCAATGTTTTTCTACTCCTTTCCCATTATTTATCACTTTCATTAGCATAGAGAAATGAGGTCATTTCTGGTCCTTACTTGCTCTAGGGTTAGGAATGAACGAGTGGATAGAAAGAGAGAGGCAGACACGTCCACAGGCTGGAGCACTCTAGGCTGTTTATGGGTCGGGGTACTCTGCCGAATTTCAGAAGGAGCGAACGCCGCTCCGGGCAGCATGCCCAGGCCTCCCTTTTATCACCTGCATTAAAGGACCCCAATGACATATGTGGAAATAACTGCAATTACCTGTGGTGTTACATTTCCATTTATCTAAAGACAGGATGGCTCGAGCAGGGGCCAAAAATGCAAAAGCACTGGCCTGAAACAGGGGTAACCTAAAAGAAACGAGACCAAAACCATGATCACGGCATCGGGAACTACCGAGGTAGTTCACTATTTGCAGCTTAACAGTCTTTTCCATAGACACACAGCACATGAGTAATGTAGGCACACCTGGAAGAAAGCCCCACTCTGCACAGATCTATGGGCACTCCATCCTCCCCTCCTGCCACTCTGCCCCCAAGCAGCTCCAGGGGAAACCCTGTGGTCAGTGCCAGCACCCCAACACCAGCCCCTGCCATGGCCGGCCCCTGCCATCGCCACCTTCCCCCTTGGGGGTGGGGGCTATTCCTAGGGACATCAGTGCACATCTGCTATGTCTCCCACTCCTCTTCAAGCTCTTATCAGTTACCACTGGAAAAACCCTGTCTCCCTCTGTTGTACCATTTTGTGAGTCAAAAAAACCATTCTAGTCATAAAAGCATTAAACTCATTAAAGTAATAAAATCATGTTAGAGATCTAGCTGTATCAAAAAGGAAAGCTATAAGTTACAAGGTGACAGTAGATATCATAAATACGGTGTTTAATCATAAAAAATACTCAGGTGTTCTAACAGATTTCAAAGGGCCGAGAAGGTTGGCAGACTCTCCATTAAACTTCCTGTCCATCTTCTCAAATTAAATACAGAGACCCTCAAATGCCACCATTCAGTTATACTTTGGGTAATTCATATTGACTTCATGAATAATTTAGCTACTCAAAGATTCTGTCATTTTTATTGGCAATGTACATCACTTTAGCTAAGCTGTAACAGAGTGGCTCTGTTGATCAGCATGAGAACTTAAATGACTTTTTTCTCATTACTTGGGGGTAAAATATAAAACTGCCTTCTGCTGTTTCCCGGTTAAAGAACTGCCAGGCACCCACTTCATTAACTGCCCCCTGCGACCCTTCCAATGAGGCGGGAGGGAACCCAGCCTCCTCCCCCTCTGAGCTGGGACAGCAAGTCCTGCCCCCAGAGAAATAAAAACAGGACCAAGAAGCGGAAGTGGCTCTGGACAAATGACAAGCAGCTGCTTTGCAAGTCCAGAACCCGGTACAATCCATGATGAGCCAGATGAGAGTCAATGCTCCTTTGTCACAATGCCCTCCTGGCCACCAATTTAGTCATGCAATGAAATCAACCAAGTAGGCAGGATGGGTTTTAGGACAGAAGTGAGCCACACAGTAAAACCAGATGCACTGCTGGCAGCCATTCACAGGGCACACCCACCACCAACCATCCAGGTATAATTACCTGCCCCAGGGGGCCCGGCACAGAGCTGTCAAGAGTGGAAGTGAAGGTCACCCAAAGTAGGAAAGTACTTCAAAGGGGGAAGATCAGGTGCCTTATACAATTCCTTAGGCACAAATCTTCAGGAACACACTGCAGAGGTCAAGGGGGTCAGCACGCCATTAGGAATGCATGCAAGTCATTTCTAATGGTCCAAAGCATGTCTATTTTACGACAGTTTCAGACTGCAAGCAATGTACCTTCAGGGAACATAATATAAACAGCAAGCAGCATTCAGAGAGCTTGTACTTAGGAGCACCACCACCACACTGCACCAATGAGTCCCTGGAAGTAGCAGGAGTCAAGACTGGCTCTGGGTTTCATTCCTCAGACAAGCTGATCTTGGTACCTTTTAGGGCAAGCATTTTATGGCTTATCCGGGACAAAAGGCCAGAAGAGTACTGCTCAGAGAACCTTCCACACTGGCCAGGACCCTGGATTGCTGAGAGTGGGTGGCACCAGTGAAAGCCTCTCACTATGAGCTGGGAGGAACTGCCCAGGCCACAACACATGCTCACCATTTGGCCAGGCAGTGTACCTCTGAAACCGGCAGCATTAAGTCAGTAGCCTGAACGAAATGATCTCAGGGAAGTGATGGTAAGATCTCGTGAATGCACTCAGGGGCACAGGTGGCAGAGCTATTTTCCAGCTGACCAGCAATGTCCTGAAGCTGTTCAATCCTCCACTCCTCCTCTGCAACCACTGCAGGATCTGCCTAGGAGGCACCAAGCCCATGCTTTAAACATCATTTTTAGGCAAGGCTGAGCCTGCGTACCCGTCTTGGGGTGATGGATTCATCACTTTGTCACTTCATAAACATTTCTCACATATCTGCTTGACAAAGACACAATAAAAGCAGATACAACAGTGGGAAGAAACTATGTGCCCTTGGTCTAGGAAGAGCAGCAATGTGAATGGTGCAGGGCACTGCGGGGCTCTGTGGACTTGGGGAACGAGAAGTACTGTGCCACATGCAGAAGAGGCTGAGCCCTCCAGGCAGGAAAAAGGGAGGTGCAAACTGAGAGTCCCATGACAGATCCGGGACCCCTTGAGAACTGTGAACTCTTAACTAGGAGGTAGGCACAAAGAGAGACAGGGAAGGGTCAGAGGGGACCGATGAAGGGGCCCCTGCATGCTACTGAAGGGCCTTGCTCTGGAAGCATCACTTTGGGGGAACTGGGGCAGGTGACCATGCCCTGGAAGCTTTCCTCAGTCGTGAAAGAACCAAACCATGGAGGAGGGTCTGACACGGTTTCACGTGCAGCCAGCCTCTGCCCTACTGACTCTGAGCCAGCAAAGATCGGGTTCGGCACACATCCCTTGGCCTCTTACTTGGCCATAGTCCCTGCTGAGATGCTCCTCTGGCTGATCTGCCTGACACCATTGAGGCTGGGATCCTGAAAGGAGCATGTGGGGCCATTTCACCACCACCGCATACCCAGACCCAACCAACAATGAACTGAAGGCATTGCTTACAAATGTTCTTTGAAAGAAATTTTGCTAGACTGGAAATGAAAAGGATAAGCCTTCTTGATATGTTGATTTTTAACTGCAAACTTGCAAGAGGACACCATTTAAATTCAAAGCAGTCAGGATAGAGATTGGAGGACATGTGCATGAATTTCACAGTAAACTCAGATAGAAAACCTCCTCTGGTGCCATCAGAGAAAGGTGGGAAGAAGCTGAGATGACTGCTGGTCCCACAGGAAGCACCATGAAGGTACAACGTGTATTTGTTTAGAAACTAAGCTGTTTAAAGGAAAATAAGAACAAAACTCATCACAGATAGGGCTCTCTGCCTGGCTTCCTTGATCTACCATGAGCAACCAAAGCTGGTACACAACCTTTCACCACCAAATGAACATTGACTCAAGTCTGGGCTGCAGGGCAAATTTGAATAATAAGCTCTAAGAGATGTGAGTATATCTGGCTTTGAGGAGATATAGTTCATCCTTCTATCCGTTACCAGCAGCGTGTGTCCTTAGCGCCTTTAATAAAAAAGCAAACCACAATGTGTCAAAGAAACCTTTTTCTTAATTGGTAACATTTTCCTATTGTTTATATGCGTATCCACCTATCCATCTGCCCACCTCTCAGCCAAACTGTTAGAAAGTAGCTTGCACACCTAGTACATGCTGTACTTCAGCAGGCATTTCTTAAGAGTAAGCACACAGTTCTACATCACTAACTTTCCCTTATCACATCCAAGAAAATAACATTAATTTAATAATGTAATCTATTATCCAGGCATATTGAAATTTATTATTTCATCCAATGCAATCCAATATCCTATATAATGTACTGTGGTTAGGGTATGGGTATTTTGTGCTGCTACTGTGTCACATCAGGACCCCTGCATGTCTGGATGTCCCACTTGGTAGGGATGCTTGCTTAGGGCAGTGGTTGCTGTATGTAACTCTCCATGTGAAAAGTATTTTTTGCCATTTATAATTAATAAACAATTTGTAGGGCGATTCTTAGACGTGTAGATGGCATATCACCATCTGCTTTACATGCTAACACAGGGATTTAAATATTATAATTTTTCAATTTTACCATCCCATCTATATTTATCAACATCTTTTTGCAAAGAAGTACTTTCCTTTTTTTCCAACATTATCTTTTCCTTTCTATTCTCTGAACATCATTGTAGACTGATGAATTCTCTTCTCACTCCATGATTTAGTTTTCCAGCATGACTATTCTTAATAATTAAATTGTCCCATCGCTTCTTGGCCTTTTGGCTAAGATCAAGTGTAATAATTAAATTGTCCCAATTTGTCCAAAGCAGCCTGTTCAAGCCAGTTCCTGCTCTTTTTGACAAAGCCATCCTCACTTTCCCTCCCTTTCTCCCTCATTCTTTGAGTAAGTCTGACTTTCTGGTCTGAGGTGGTTTAGGTTCAGTTTGTCCTTTCTTCAGTTCAAACCCTGGAGTCAACCACTTTGCCAGGAAGCCCTGGCTTGTTAAAATGGAGAATGGTGGTTAGGAACCAAGACCTCAGCTCTAGGTGGTCTTGCTGTCACTCGGGTACCACTGTTGCTAGCAATGCCTTTTTAATTTTTTTTTTTAAATCTTGAGATCATAATGACACCAGTGATTCAACCTACTACCACTGGTCCTTTCGTCCTTTCCATATTTTTATCTCTCCCTTTTCTTTGAAAAATCTCCTTTTCAAACACAATAGTAGCAACTATTCTAGGTAAAGGGTTTGTTAGCATATAAGACCTTTCTTTACAACTTAAAGATCTGGCTGGGTACAGAGGAAAATGCAGAGCTCTTCCCAGGCGTGACAACATCCCATATATTGATCAGCAGTTGTGCATTTCACTGCCCACATGGGCAGAAACTCACAAGACTGCACATATAGAAAGGGTGTATTTTATAATAGGTCAATTACCATCAGTAGAGAGTACTTTACAAAATTTTGTCGGCTAGGATCTTCAGGCAGTGTGGGATATATTCCTTAAGATGTTAGTTATACATAACAATCCCAACATTTAAGAGGGAAAGTAGGGCTAGGGATTTAGCTCAGTGGTTCTGCTGCATGCCTTGTAAGTACAAGGACCTGAGTTTGATCCCCAGTACCCAACAAACAAACAAGAAAAGAGGAGAAGAGAAAAGAAAAAGAAAGAAAGTAAAAGAGCTTCCTCTCTCTTTGTAGTGGGGACTACTCTGTCCCCCACTCCTGTATTGTGTTGCTTCTGTCAGTCACCTGCCTAAA